ATGCTTTCAGCATTGCCCTGCAGCGTCTTGCCAACAGGCCACCAGAACTTAAGCCAGAACTTAAACAAGTGTCTTCGTAAGACAGGTCTTTTAAGTCTTCATGACACAGATCTCTTAAGGATTGCACCTCCCGACAATTGACTTCCTTTTACCTGGCTCTATTCCCCCCACCCTCCACCACATCGTATCTGTCTCCTTGTCTAATAATTGGATTTATTGTCTCTCTCTTACTACTAGAAAGAAAGTAAATACCCTGAGAATAGAGAGTTTTGTTAGTTATCTTCACTTACTTCCTTCACCTGTGGGTCCCTAACAAGCTGCAGGACTATCCCTGGCACAAAGACATATCTAATGTCTGTTTGCTAAATGAATATGTGCACTAAGCACCACTTAAGAGAGCTGCCACAAAAGGAAACATTGGTGGGTTGCTGACTTTTCTTCTGGTTAGGTGGCTTTCTTAAAGTCTTCTCCGTTCTTGGATTTAGCGTCTCTTCCTTAGCATCTTGCTCTTAACCCTGAAGATGCTTACGTGATTTTCTCCCTGTGAGAAAATCTTGAGTTCCTTCCTGATGAGGGATAACCGAGTCTCTTGACATCCATTTCAATAAACTCACTTATTGCCATTGAGTTAGAACCAGCTCTAAATGAATAAACTGACTAGATGCAATGTATTCAAACAAAATGCAAACTGATTGCTGTCAAAATTGATTCACTGCTGACCCTCTCCAAAGCTGAAAATCACACAGGAAGAGACACACCATCTTTCTGTCGCAGAGAGGCTGGTGGATTTAAACTGCTAGATGAGCGTGGACTTTGTATTAGCAGTGCAGTTCCCTACAGACTATGCTACCACATGGTACAGGATAGGGCAAGGTTTCCATCTGTTGTTCCCAGGGTCATTATGAGTCATAGGTGACTCTATGGCACTTAATAACAACAGAGCCATATCTATTTATCAGTTTCATCCACTAACCAAAGTACGATTGAATAATTAGTGAGCTCACCTCCAAGAGATTTCTGTGTTCTGATTATTTAATATTCCCCATTTACTTATGCATTATTTCCAGTACAAAAATAAATAGTATATTATTATAGCAACACACTCTTTGTTTCATGAAGTGAGCTACTTGGATATCTGAGAGGTTTTATCTTCCTGAACTTTGAGGCTAAGGACTGCTCTCTTTTTCCACATTATATTCCTAGTTTTTACTGGTCGGAGAAACAATGATTGTACCATGGACATTGCATTCTCATAGAATATGAATAAAAGGAGGGTAAGTTTTAAGAGACAGAAACACCTTATGTATGGACTAAGACTAAATGGGTAATAATCAAAACAATAATTTCTAAGGAAATAATTTTCATGATGTTGTTTTATGTCTATGTATGGGTGATGTCTGAGGATGACTAATATGAGGAAATGAGTTCCAACATGCAGTTCAAAAATCAATGATTGGATGGAATTTGATCCATTGATTTTTTTTTAAATTGAGATTTTAATGAAAGTTTATAGAGAATGTGGATTTCCATTCGTTCATTGTTGCACATTTTTCTCCTTTCCCTCTCCCCCAGCTCACTTTTCTTTTTGAAAAAAAGAATTCTTTCATTGATGTACAATGATTTACTGATTTAAAAAAGAATCTATCTAACCAGTCTAACCATTGATTCTAACTAACTTCCATCTAACCACTGATTTTTTAAAAATTCACTATTTTTTTAAAAAAAATCAGTGGTTAGACAGAATTTGATCCTCTAGCAATTAACAAGGAATGGGACACAGGAGATGAGGAATGAAGTCTGTGGAAGAGAGATCATCTTGAAGCACTCCAAAGGAAGAGATAATTTGGTTTTAATCAAAGATTAGTGCATTATTTAAAAAGTTAGAATCTTCAACAAATCTAATTCAATCTCAGTTAAATTTTTTAAAAATATTAATTCTCAAATTAAGGAGCTTTGGTGGCATAGGGATTTTGACTAAGGCGTGTCTGATACAGGCCATGGTCTTTGTAATCACTTGCATCAGAGAGTTGGACAATAACTAAGGAGGATAGAAGAATTGATGCCTTTGAGCTGTGGTGCTGGAGAAGAGTATTGAGGATACCATGGACTGCTAGGAAAACAAACAGATTCATCCTGGAAAGGGTCAAACCGGGTGGCTCCTTGGAGGCAAGGATTCTGAAGCTCCGTCTAACATACTTTGGACATGTTGTAAGGAGAGACCGGTCCTTGGAGAGGGACACCATGCTTGGTAGGGTGGAGGGACGGTGCAGGAGGGGAAGGCCCTCTATGAATGAGGTGGATTGACTCAGTGACTGGGGTAATCAGGATGGGAGTGTCAGAGACAGTGCGATTGGCACAGGACAGAGCAGAGTTTAGGGCTGTTGTACATAGGGTCTCTATGAGTCACAAGTGACTCGACGGCACATAACAACAACAACAACCTAAAGAACACACACCTCTCTGATGGTTCAAACCCACTTGAGAGAAACACAGGTGAATCGCCTATGTGATTTTCAAACCCACTTGAGAGAAACACAGGTGAATCGCCTATGTGATTTACAGCCTCAGAAACCCTTTGGACGGTCAGTTATGAGTCAGTTATGACTACTCAAATCAATGGCAATGAATTTTGAGTTTGAACAAATGACAATGGTGCTTAATGAAAAACCTTAAGGATAAAAAGTTATTGACAATAATAGTTTTGCTCGCCTAAAGCATCAAGCTACTTAGGTTTTCTTGTGAGGAAGAGCAAAGATTATGTATATGTTAAACCATAAAAAGATGACACTTTAACTTAAATTTCTAGTTCTTTATTCTATCTTGAAATTGAGCTCCTGACTAGGTTGTTTGCAAGTTCAGCTGTGATATTGTGATTAAAAAATATTTACTCACAACATAAACAATCTTCCAAGAATCCTGACCAATCTATAACCAGGAGGGGATAAAATAGATGAATGGGACCTTCTAAGAATCAAATCCCTATGCACATCCAAAAAACTTCTCCAACAGGGTAAAAAGGGAAGTCACAGACTGGGGAAAAGTATTCGGTAAGGACATGTCAGATAAGGGACTTATATTTAGTATTTATAAAATAATTGAACACCACAAGAAGATAAAGGTAAACAACCCAATTGCAAAATGGGCATAGGACATGAACAGACACTTCACCAAATATGACATTCAGATGGCCAAGAAGCACATGAAGAAATGTTTCTAGCTCTAAGAGAGATGCAAATCAAAACAGCTATGAAATACCATCTTATCCCAGTAAGCATAGCAAAATTCAACAGAGCAGCAAACAACAAATGCTTGTGAGATCGTGGAGAAACTGGAATCCTTATTCACAGTTGGTGGGAGTGTAAAATGGTGCAACCACTATGGAAGGCTGTATTGCGCTTTCTCAAAAATTTACTAATAGAAATACCATTTGACTCAGCAATTCTACTACTGGGAATATACTCTAAAGAAACCATAACCCAAGCGGATATATACATACTCATGTTTATCATGGCTTTGTTTACAATAGCAAAGAGTTGGAAACCACCTAAGTGCCCATCAACAAATGAATGGATAGAGAAGCTGTGGTATATTCACACAATGGAATACTATGCTGCATTGAAAAATAAGGAATTCATAAAATACTATACAAAATGGGTGGCCCTGGAAGACATTATGCTGAGGGAAACATCTCAGTCACAAAAGGACAAATACTGCATAATGCCACTGTTGTAAAATGGGACTGACATTGGGGTTGGGTGGAGACTGAGAAAGATGGAGTAAATTATGCATACTGCAATGAAACAAATGTGGGAGAGAACTTTTTAAAAGGGATATATGGTCGGGTATTATTGTCATGACCGCAGTCCAGAATGAAGGCTGCATAGTGGAGTGGACTTGGGGTGGGGGGTGGGGGACTGTATAACAATGAATTTTTCCTTTACTTTTCAAAGAGAAGAGAGAACTGGGAGCCGGGGAGTTTGGGCAGGAAGAAAAGTACAACAATGAATGAATGGAAATCCAAAGTCTCTGTAAACTTTCATTTAAATGAATAATAACAGTAATAATAAATGTTTACTGTTGCTTCAAATGACATATCTAAACTTTAAATACTGTAAGCATGTTATGGCATCCACTTCCTAAACAACATGCCTCTGGAAACTCTATGCTGATAAATGTTGATAGTTGTAGAGGGGCTTCAGGTCTTTTGTTCATAGGGTCGCTGTGAGTTGCGCTCAATTCAATGGGTAATCAACATCATCCTCAACAACAATAACAACAACACAAGTATGTTGTAGGAAAATGTATTTACTTAGAATGCTTATTACAGGAAACAGGTCCCTTAAAGTTATAAACTCTTGTTTCTTATAGAACATGATTTTGCTCATTAACATGAAAACATTTCTCTCATAGACTCTGACCTCATGAATTTTGTTATCATTAAACCAAGCAACACAAGAGCTGTGCATATGTGCAGTAAAAAAAAGTTAGTTTATTTGTATCTTAATCTTTGCAAGTTTTTTTAAAGATAAAAAAAATAAATGTTTATATGAGACTTACTTTTAAACATGTAAGGCAATGTCTCAATTCTTCCACACTGGCAGCTTGCGATGTGTGTACCAGGGGCACATGAAATCTAATTTTTAATGTCATGATAGGATTTGTGTTTTAAGCCCAGTACTTGGAATAGTTTAGCAAAACTAGCATATCAAATATATCATCAATACTTCAGAAAACTCTGTCATCTTTTCTCTTACTGCAAAACCTATTCTTTCTTAAAATTCTAAGCATTTAAAAAAAGTGTTCTTTATATGATGTTTATCTCACTTAGTGCCTTATTTTGTGTATTTCTCTGTCCATAGTGTATGTCAAGGATTCTCCCCCCCACCCCATATCTATATAGTTAGTAGGATTTTTTGGGTTTACTTTCTCCTTATTTCCTTGCTTCTAAGAAATAGTAGTCACAGTTTTTAACATTTCTGAAAAGAATTAGATGAACTTACCATTTTCGGGACTTTAGAATTATCCAGAAGGGACCAAGGATGAATAAAATAAAGAAGAACACACCAAAGAAAACACCTAGGTATAAAACAAGATGATTAACGAATAGAACATATAACCCCTAGGTTTTAAACTCCATCCTGATGTCAAATCTCATTAGAGATGTCAATGATATTTTTGTGTGTGTGTGTGTAGTACAAATTATTTTTTTAAACAGACCAATAAACAGGTTAAGCCTTCTGATTGATCTACTATTTCAGGTTTAATATAGAACACCAGTCTTATTTTCATAAGGTTATTGTGAAGCAGTGAGCCGAATGATTTTGAACATTTACTCTAACAGCAGCCTTTCAAGTACCAACAAGTGGGTGGTAAGAGCCAGCTCTGTACCTCCTGGCCTCCAGCCTCTATGCCCTGTACATGCATCTGTGGAAGCCATGAAATACTGACTGTCCTATGGAGATGTCCATAGTTCTTTATGAAACGAATTTATCACAAAAGGTATTCCTATTATATAGACAGATCACAGGAATGGGCTTGCAAAACTAGTTTCTTGTGGACCAGGGCCAGCCTGGCTTCTAACTGCAGCATAAACATCCATTGGTGGGCGTGGTGCTAATTTGCGCAAATTACCCTAAGTATCATCTTGAGTCCTGTTTCCAGGTTATAAACTAATAAGGAACTTGTTTTATCCAGCCACAATTAAGGGATTGCATAACCAATGACGGAGTTTTTCTTTCTTTTCAAGGAGAAGAGTGAATTGGGGGGATGGGGTAGGCAGGGAGAAAAGTGCAACAATGAATCACTAGAAACCCTAAGTCTCTGAAGCTTTCATTAAAATTAATTAAAAGAAAGAATTTTTGACATTGAGGAATAACTGTTCATTTACAAAGGTACAAGAAAAGATGTTTCGATGAAGGATCCTGTGGTGTAGAAAAATGGCTTTTCTAGCCCATTAGCTTTGCTTTCCACCACGTGGCTGGACTAGAATGTGTAAACCAGGCGTGTAAGTTACTCATGATGAGACTGGTCAGTTTTGTCATCTCACAAAGTTTAAATTGAGCAAGTTCAGTAGCAGAAAATTGGAATCACACTCCTAGCTAGAAAGAAGAGGCCCAGAATGCAGAATTTGTCCTTTGGGACCAGAGATGCCTGCACCCATCAAAACAGGACCTGTGGAGAACAGCAGCTGCAGAGAACCAGAGACTGAGGTGAAACACAACTGATCTGGGACTTCTGCCTCACAGAGCCAATGCCAGAGGCCTTTGCCCAGGACTGGGTGGTGGAGGAAGATGGGCAGGAAAGAAGCACGTCATTGGCAGGAACAAAGGGAGTTTTTTAATACTGCCCTAAAGCCTTGAGGCTGAAGGTCAAAGGGCCTGCCAGCAAATTTACAGAGGTCCTGACTGAAGAGTTGTATCCTGTCTCATCTTGAATGGTAACTTGTTAACTTCCTCATAAACACCACAATCAGGATTAGGGTTCTGTGAGCTCTATGAGGCCATTACAAGAGGTTAGTGGACTCAGTAGTAGAGCAATTAATGCTCTGGGAGGGACAACTGGTATCAAAATTGGCAGAAGTAGATGTAAAAGCATGGGGAACATATCTGGCCCCATGAAAATTGGTTCTGTGTTGTAGATGTTGTGCATGGGGACAGTTCTTCCTTGTGGAGTGAGGTCAGATTTAGCTTTAGGGAGCTCCAGTGGCCTAGTGGGTAAAGACTTGTACTGCCAACACAAAGGCAAGTGGTTTGAATCCACTAGCTGCTCTGCAGGAGAAAGATGTGCAACCTCCTTCCATGTGATTTACAATTTGGTGTCTCTGAAAGTTCACTGATGGGTCAGCTATGGGTCAATTCCAACTCAACTGCAATGAGATGAATTGTTGAGTTACACTAAATGTATATAAGAATATCTGTTTTCCCACACCAACCTGCACTATCCTTTATTTTCTTTGTAATTATACTTGCAATGTTGTTGTTATGTGCCATTGAGTTGCCTGTGACTCATAGTGACCCTACGTACAACAGACCTAAACCATGCTTTATCCTGTGTCAATCTCACCTGTGTGTCTTCGACACACCTATCCCCATTACCCCAGACACTAAGTCAATCCATCTCACCGAGGGTCTTCCTCTCCTGCACTGTCCCTCCACCCTCCCAAGCATGATGTCCCTCTCCAAGAACTGGTCCCTCCTTGCATCATGTCCAAAGTCTGTCAGACAAAGCTTTATTTGCAGTGTATTTTATGTATTATTATTATTATATATTTTACTCATTAGAAATGAGAACTTACTGTTAAAAGATGCTAGAGTTCTTCAGCTAGTCCTTAATAAAACTTACCAACTACGAGCACATCTTGCGAGCCTAAAAGAAAGACAAATGGCATAAAACATTAGTCGAGAATTTAATATGGTCAGACAGGATCTCTCAGCCAAGAAGCAGTGGTTTGTTGGTTTTTCTTCAGCACAAGTCTAATTTTTTCCTAACATAAAATGCCGTTGGTTTCATGGGCACAATATAATGTTATCTTGTACAATTAATGATACTTATTTTTCCTTTCTAAATTATTCTTTTATCATAAATAATTATCATAAACAAACATAGACGAAAACTTGCATAAGGGGAAAAAAGAATAACATTACCCATAACCATAATGTCTTAAAGATTTTTGGTACATTTTTTTTCTGTTATATTTTTCCATGCATATAAGTTTTCACAGTTACATGACACAGAAATGCAAATTACACAGAGGCAAGCCAACAGAATAAATTCTAGTAGATAAATCCTAGTTTATTTAATGCCTTCCATTGTATATTCATAAGGAACTCTGGTGGTATACGGCTCTGATGGAGAAAGGTGGACAGTGTCCTCCTAGTAAGATTTATAACATCAGCAACACTAACAAAGATCAACAAGACAGCAAAGAAACGCTGGCAAAGGTGTAAAGAGACTGAAACTCTCATACACTATGGGTGGGAATATAAAATAATGCAACCACTATGGTAAATACACTGATACTTCCTGAGAAAATTGGGAACAGAAGAACAATCTGACCTAGCAATCCCCTCTACTAGGTATGTATCCCAAAGAAATGGACACAAATTGACACAAGAACACCCATTCTTATTGCAACTTTATTAACAACGGCAGGAGTGGCATCCACTTCCTAACCAACATGCCTCTTGAAACTATGAACTTTGATAAATGACGATAGTTATAGAAAGGTTTCAGGCCTTTTGTTTATCGGGTTGCTATGAGTTTGTGCTGGACTTGACGGCAGTCAACAGCAACATTTACAATAGCAGAGCTGGAAACAACCCAGGTGCCCATTAACAGAATAATGGATAAAGAAACTATGGTACATTCACATAATGGAACATTATGCATCACTTAAAAAACAATCAAGAATTTATGAAGTACTGCACAACAGGGATGAGCCTAGAAAATTATGCTGAGTGACATAAATCACTCATAAAAGAACAATTATTATATAAAACCATGAATCTCAAAGGATAAGGGAAGGAATACACAGATGGCATCATTCTTGGATAAAAAGGGCAGGAGAAGGGAGTAAAATTTAAGAAATATATAAGTTATATGAAGGGCAAGGCAACATAGAATATGGATTGATTAGACATTGTTACTAAATGCTTTAATAAAGCATAATTAATGTTATGAAACAAAATGTGCATGAATGACTGAAAAAAAAGACAATGAAATTTGTAAACTTTCACTCAAAAGTTGGAGGTTTAAGCTCATTCAGAAGTACCTCAAAAAAATGTTGCAAACACTGTGGAAGGTAGTGTGGCACTTTCTCAAAAAGTTACAAATAGAAATACCATTTAACTCACCAATTCCACTACTGGGAATATACCCCAAAGAAACCGTAACTGCCACCCAAACAGATTCACGCACATCTGTGTTTATTGTGGCTTTGTTCACAATAGCAAAAAGTTGGAAACAACCTAAGTGCCCATCAACAAACAAATGGATAGAGAAGTTGTGGTATATTCACACAACGGAATATTATGCTGCACTGAAAAACAAGGAATTAATGAAATATTACACAAAATGAGTGACCCTGGAGGACATTATGCTGAGGGAAACATCCCAGTCACAAAAAGACAAATATGGCATAATGCCATTGTTATAAAAGAGGACTAGCATATGGGTTAGGGGGAGACTGAGAAAGATGGGATAAATAATGTATACTGCAATCCACCAGATGCTCTGCTGGAGAAGGAGGGACAATCTCCTCCTATACCAGTCAGATCTGATTTGACGGTACACACAAAAAAATAATAAAATTTAAAAAAGTATACTGCTTTGAAACAGATGAGGGAGAGAACTGTTTAAAGGAGATATATGATTAGGTGTTATTGTGACAGGAGTCCAGAATGAAGGTAGCATAGTGGAGTGGACTTGGGGGGAGAGATTGTATAACAATGAAAGAGTTTTACTTTTCAAAAGGAAAAGCAAATTGGGGGAAGGGGTGGGCAGGGAGAAAAGTGCAACCATGAATGAATGGAAATCCAAAGTCTCTGTAAACTTTCATTAAAATAAATTTAAAATAAAAAAAAATTAATAAAAAAAGAAAGATCTGGTGATCTACTTCCAAAAAACCAGCAGTTGAAACCCCTGTGTAACACAACTCCACAAATCTCATCAGGTTTGGTATTAGTGACAAATTCTGAGGCTGACGTAGAGTTCAAGAGCGCCTTCCCTCTGCTCTGAGAAAAACACTACCAAGTGTCAGGCTTGTGACACATCTGGGCCACTGAAGTGGGGGATGGGGGAGATCTGGGAATTCTAAGAAATCTTTTATTTTGTGACACTAAACTACCACTGTGAGGTCCCTTTTTGCTTTTAACTCTCAACTATCTCTATCTCCTTCCCAATCTATCTACTTTCATCAGCTTCCTTTTTTAGAAATGTCTAAGACTACCAAGGTGAGTAATCACTCTCTCTAAAGCTTTTTTTTTGGGGGGTGGGGGGGGTGTATTTTCCCCATGGCCTCATCTTTATCCACCTATTGTCACCACAAAGCAGTACAACATTAGATTAGGGAGCTCTGGTGGCCTAGTGGCAAGAAGTTGCACTGCAATCCTGATGGCACATGGTTCAAATCCTTCCACTGCTCAGCAGAAGGATGGGCAATCTCCTCCTGTGTAGTTATCTGCAAACCCACTGGAGGATCAGCTATGTGCCAATTCTGACTTGATGGCACACAACAGCAACATTAGGTAGGGTAAAGAGCTGAGCAACGAGGGCAAAAGGGATTAACTACTTACTTATATTTTTGAGTAATGTTAATTACTAAGTGCTTAATATATATTAATTTTTATGATTTTTACTATTACCATAACCACTACAACTACTATCACGTGTATAATATGATAACACTATTAACTTTATTATCTTTTCCATGTATTTCCAGCTTATCTACTACTTTCTTAATTGACTTTTAAAGTACATAAAGGATTGATTTTTCTTTTATGATTTATTTTTTTTGTAGAATAACCTCAATTTAAGATGTTGGCCTCCTTCCAGTTTTTATGATAAATCATCTTCTGTTTAAAACTCTAGCTCTTCTATAGTTTGAGCTTTAAAAATATAATACTTTATTGAAATTTATAAATTAAATAGAAAGACTATTTTTCTAATTCTCGCTACGTTGTTTTAACATTATTACTATTCCATTTGACTTATGCCAGCTATTATATTTTATCTGCAAAATAATTATTTTGTTATTTATAATAACCTTTCTATTATTCCATTTATTTATATGTTCTTACTTATGCTGACACAAATTGATTTGTCTTGTGGCAATATATATTCTTTAAACATTTTGTAGAGTTGGCTCTCCAATTAACTGGATTTTCTGTGACTCACTGCCAGATCTCCAGATCATTCCAAAGGCACCCAGTCAGTCAATGAGTTCTTTGCCAAAGATGTAGATTTTATTCAATATTAAGGGAAAACCTACTTTATAATTCATAAATATTATTCATGAGTTGCATTAGTTGATACATTTACAAGATTAACTGTAAACATGGGTCTTTGTATTATAAATAATAATCATCAGAGTATGCCACTTTTTAATATGTACATACAATTTTATTACTATTTTTAAACATTTTACATTGGTTTGCATATGAAGTTCATATACATTGTTTCCCACTATCCATCATTCATATTATGCTTCATTATGTTTTATAAAATCAATCACCATTTAACCATGGCCACCACTACCTTGTCTTTCCAGATCCCTGCCAGATCTTTCCCATTTCCTTTAACCTTCCCAAACTGTGTGATCTTAGGCCTAAGTGAGTGTTTGTGTGCTTTGGAGAGACCAGCACTAACATGGGTTAAGAAAAGTCTATTACGTTATTAATTTTGTTCACCTGCCCTTTGAAGGGTACAAGCTCACTCTAACATTTTCTGTTACCTTCTGGTTGTCAGCAGAGGGCTACTCTCATACAGACACATAATTGCTGAATTGTTGTATGGAAGAAGGCAAACGTACAATGCTGTAGCCAACGGTAGTAAGGGACCACAAACAACAGCTCTTTTCACCCTAGCATATGGTGCCTGATGCCTGCTAGAAGCATTTCTTCCCTCTTCTTTTGTTAAAAACAAAATTTTATTGAGTTTTCGGTAAGAGTTTACAGAGAAAACTGGGTCCTTATTTGATAATTGTGACCCAAATTGTTAGTGACATAGAATCAACATTTTCTTTCTTTCTTTTTATTCTATATGAGTATTTGCCTACTTTTACAAATAAGACAAATTAAAACAGAAACATGTAAATACTTAGTTCAGTCTTGAGCTTTTGATATTTAATACAATGTAGATAAATAGCAAAAAAAATTGGAGAGAGAAACTCTAAATTGCTTTTCTTTGCATGCTACAGAATTTCAATATTTTCTATAACTGTATTTAGTTGGTTTCATTTCCAGTAGTCTAATTTCCTTGCCTCATCTTTGCTTTTAAATAATTGTTGATCTGTAGATCAACAGATGCTTTTAAAATAGAGCAACTGTCATAAGGATAATATTATTTATTTTGTATGTCAATCTATTTTGCTGAAAGATGGTTTTAAGAGTTAGGCTTGATTCTAAGTTTAAGGCGTATCTCAGGGAATCCTTTCTTCTTGCTATTCCAGTATTTCTGGATTTTTTTCTTAAAGAATCTGAGTTTTCCTCTTAAACAGTCACCTATAGGCTTTTACAACTCCACTTGTTATTTTCTTGGATATAGATTTTGTGAATTATGCTATACCAATTGACAGAGTTGTCCCATTAGACTGTGGCCCAAGATTTCAAATCCAGAAAAACAATGTTGGAAGGTGTTTGGTTATGTCT